CTAGTTTTTTGTTTATTTTGATTTTTTAATTTATTCAAAAAAATTTTTTAGTCTCAGAGCCCCATTTTCCTAGCAAATCTCCCATATAATTAAAGTTATCAATTAATAATTAATATGTATATATATATATTTATTATTTTAGTAATATATAATAAATAGCTTTTCAATTTTTTTTAAATAGTTGTGATATTATGACCTATATAAAAAATATAGAGTTACAATTGTAGATTGCAGATTACGTTTAGTAAAACCTAGTTATAATATTATCTTTATAAATAACTATAAAAATAAATATTAAAAATTAGTATTCAACAATTGTTTTATATTAAAAACTATATATAAACAATCAAATTAATATAATATTTATATATTTTACAACTAATTTCATAATTTATGGATCATTAATAAATTGTGACTGAATACAACTGAAAATATTTTATAATAAAATTACTATAAAATATTGCGACTGAATGCAATTGAAAAATTATTAATAGTCCATAAATTATGAAATTAGCTATAATATATAAAATAAATAGATCTATTATTTATTATATATCAAAAAATAAATACTAAAATTAATTTAATATTTAATATAATTTTTTAAAAAATAAAATTGATAAACCATTTTTTTTAAAAAAAATTAACTTTAAAAATTAGTATATAATATATTATTATAATATATTATAAAAAAAAAATATCAAATTAAAATATTACATATTTTAAATAAAAAATAATAAATTTATTTATTAAATATTTTGATTTATATCTAATAATAATATTATTTAAAACCTATTTTAATATATGGAAATGTTTTTAGTAAAATCAAGTTATAAGTCATAGTAAATTATATGATCTATAATGTGATTTATTAAAATGTTTTTATATAGTTTAAAATTTAGAAAAATTTTAAAATCTTTATAGCAAATTGTATAATTTGTTGACCATTCCTAAAAATTTATTTTTAATGCTTGAATTCAGATATTTCATATATTATGATTTATATAACTAATTATAATATAAACTATAATGATTTTTAATACTATTTATTATAAAACTATTTGTATTTAAATTTATTTTTTTTATATTATATGATTTCAACAGATTTCAACATATTTTTATAAAAAAATTAATAGCCAGAAATTCTCATTAAAAAATAGCTAAATATTTATATATAAGTAAAGAATTTATATATAATAAATTAATTTTAAAGATTTAAATGATATAAAATAATGCAAAAATTTTAATGTATAATTCAGATATTAAAAATTAAATTTTTAGAGGATGATCAGCAAATTATGAAATTTGCTGTAAAATGATTTTTTTAAATCTAAAACTTAATTAAATTTCATTGAGTTTAGAAAAGCCTATTAAATATTTAGGTAAAAAATATTTATTATAGCAAATAATTTAATCTTTAATCTTAAATATCTTGAAATTTAAAGATAGTTTAAAAAAAACATCTTTAATACTTAATATATTTTTGATATATTTTTTTAATTTTAATCTTTTATTAGTTAAAAAATTATCAATAATATAAAATATAATTCAAATTATTTATAAATATCAAAAATTAAATGTATTTATAATTATTATAATATTAAAATACTTTAGATTATATATATTGGGAAAGGACAAATGTATTGCACAGTTTTGATATAGATATTTTAGTTAATTTATCATATGTAATTGAGCCATATTTTTTAGTAACATATTAGCTAGCTTATGCTTAATAAAATATTTAAATAATTGTTAAAATTAAAGCATTGCAAGATGTAAAATCAAAAATTTAAAAATACATTACTTTTCAATTTATCACATGTTGTTACTGGGAATAATCTTCTTTGATTACTTCATATAATATATCTAAGTTCCTTTGCTGCAGTAAGTAACTTTCTTATTGTCAGACTTTATAACCTTAGGGAATCTTATGTCCTACAGGTGTCCAGAATGCCTTGGAATTACTTTACTTGGTTTATGAACTTAAGGGTTTATGGACTTAGAAAATTTAGAGAATTTATTTATTCTAAGTGATGAACTCAATCGCAAGTTAGTGTAGTAGTTCACGATCAAATCCTAGATGATAGACACGTAGAAGGGAAAAGTAATTATTTTTAAAGTTGATTCCTTTATTACTTGAACTTGTAATAAAACTGAAACTCACAATAGAGCTATTTTACAATATGAGCAAAAAGCTATTCTATTTATACTAAAGATGAGGGACGAAACTCAAAAAAGGCAATTAATAAACAGCCAAAACTATATTAAAACATAGTGAGGGTACGACGAAATCCTGAAATCTGAAATTAGCTAAAACTATATTTAAAACATAGTAAGAGATATAACGAAATTATTTTGAGGGAGTCTTGGCTGGCATTTTTAATTTATACAAAATTAATTTACTACAACTAACTAATTGCTATGCTATAAACTAACTAAATTTGTAACTACAAGTGTTAATATAATAATAATAATAATAATTATAACGATAACAATAAATATAATAAAAATAATAAAAATAAGAAGAATAATGATAATAATTAAAATAATAGAAATATAAGAAATTAGGAAAATCTAACAAATCATGATAATCTGACGAATCCAGTAAATCCTAAGAATCCTACGAATCCTCAGAATCCTGTCTGGAATTATGCAGATCTTCTAATTTGAGATCAACATAAAATTAATTCCAGTAACTTCTATAGATCATTTAATAATTCTTTGTAGGTCAACTTTTCAATAGTGAATTTTTAGTCGGTAACAATGTACTAAGCTTCGATATCTGCAAAATAAATCAAATAACTATTATATAATGATATCTATAATATTTATGATTTCTGAGTTACTGAACCAAATTTTTTACTATAGTATTGCTCTTATTTTCTAAAAGATAAGTTCTTTAATTATACTATAACTTGCGCCAAATTGAACTTTAGGAGTATTTTCAAATTCGATTTTACAAATTGCAACATATTAATTCAAACTATAATAAAAATATTTCATTTATATAATTGATAATCAATATGTTACTAAAAAAATATGGCTTAGTTACATATGATAAATTAACTAAAATATCTAAATCAAAACTGTACAATACTTTTGTCCTCCCCCGGTATAATTAATATTACTTAATTTTTAATAATCTAATAAATACTAATTATTCTTTTTAAATTTTTTTTAATTGTAATTTCATTAGATTATTTAATCTAATGCTATTTATAAATTAAAATAAATATTATTCTATATTTATAAAATAAAATTTCATAAAAGTATTAAATTAATATTTTCAAATACTTATTCAATAATCCATTATTTAATATATCTAATATATACCTTTAAATAATATTACAGCTATTTTTATATTCTCAAACTGCCAAAAATTTTTCAGAGGAATTTTATTATAAAATATTTCAGTTATATTCAATAACATTCAGTCTCAATTTATTAATGGTTTAGAATTATGAAAATAGCTATAAAGGTTAAAAAATACAATCATTTATTCTTTAGTTTTTTTTCTAATTTTAAAATTAATAAGCTAAAAAATAAATAAACTTATCTAATTATATTATTACATATATAAGACTTTTAAATATTTTATTATATAATTAACTTAATTGAATGAATTTTCATCAGAAATATCATTATTTAATATTATAAAAAATTTTATTTTTAAATCTTTAGATTTTGACAATCTTTAAATTATAAATTAATTAATTTAATTAATTTATTTTATTTAAATCTAACTTGGATTTATTGTAAAATTTTTAAATAATTTATTTTTATAAATTTACATTTTTTGTTTAATAAAAAATTTTATTTACATACATACACACACAATATATATTTCTTTTATTTTGTTTATAAAAACACTCTTATAATAAATCTTATTCTACTTGTAATAATTACTTTTCTCTCTTAAAATATAATACTCTACTATCATCATTCTTATGCTAATTTTAATCTTTGTATCTCTTAATTTGTATATATATATTATCTTATTATCTCTCTTCTTTTTAATACTTAAATATATTTAAAATAATTTTTTTTGAATTTTTAATATTTACTCTTCAATTTTAAAATCTCTTTTAAAATTGTTAGTAAGTATAGTAATCTTATTCCGCTTAATGATATTTCTACTCTTAACGACACTACTTTTCTTAACGATATTATTGTCGTTTCTATTTAAATTATTACTATTACTCATTTTAATACTAATTTTTCTAGCCCATTCTCTTAAAATAAAACAATCAGTATTTACAACAGTAACGCAACTTAATTTTTCCCACTCATTATCAAGTAAAGGTTCACAAATCTCCCGTTTTATATTAAAACAATTTCTAAATTTCAAGATTTCCAATTGTTTAAATTCAGTTAATTCAACTAATGGAGTACAATCTTCAAAATTTACCCAATAAAAATCTAAAGAACGTAATGATTTGTGTTGGGTATATAAAGCAGAAATAAGCAGTGAAGTACTAGAAAAGAACATTGTTTGAAAATGTTGAAGATTTCGTTGCGAGGAGATTAATGTACAGATATTTTTAACATCCGAGTTGTCGGTCGGTGGTGGTGAATGCATGAAACAAGATTTTCGATGAAGATCCATCATTACTCCCAGATTTGTCTATATTAAGAAAGAAATTGGTAAGCTGTTAATTAATAAAAGTATTTTAAAGGATAAAATAAACAATCAATTACTTACCAAATTTTTACATTGTTTAGAGAGTAAAGGAAGAAAATTCGACATGGGACAATCAACGGTTAAATAGATATTATTTAAATTACTACATAATCCGTTGAGGAAGCCACTACTACTAACGCCCAAACTATGACTCATTAATAAATACATGCAACTCAATTCTTTTTTGTCCCAAATTAAGTTCGTAGATCCAACATGCAATTTCTCTAATCTTTTACTCGTTCTTGAAATCATACTCAATAATACTCGTACGATTGCTTCAAATTGGCTAGAAGCAGTGGTAGTATGTGTAATGAAACTATCGGAAAACATTTCAGAGTATCGACCATTACTAGTAGCCGCATTAGATTTTGTAGTAATCCAAGAATTAATAATGGATAAGAATCCTCTATAATAAAGATTTTTAAAATATTTAGGATATTCATAGTAACCACCATTTCCTCCTTTACTAGAATTGATAATGCCATATTCAAACAACATTTCTAATTCCGGTTGATTTAAACATAATAATAATGTATCAATAATTTTATTGATATTTTTCAGTTCTTTAAAATAATAAAATGGATTTGAATATAGTAATTTCATTATATATAGACTCCAATTTTTATTTACTAATAAGCATGAGTGAAGCGTTGAAATATATTCATTTCCCTTACTATCAAAGTTATCAAAGATTCTTTCAAAAAGTTCCATTGATAATTCATTAGATGAAATAGAAGACGTAGAAGATTTGATAGGTGTTGAGCAAGGCATCGTTAGCAGTTATCAATTTTCAACGATTGAAAATAAGATTTAACGAAAAGAAATGATTTTATGATGAAAAGAATATTTTTCAAAAAAGAATGCGAAAGAACCGGTCATAAAAATCACGAAGATTTTATATTCGTAAAAAAGGTTGGAATCAAAAGAAACACGTAAAACAAAGAGAATTTCTTTGATTATTTATTATTTGCATTTTTTTGGTTCACCTGATCAAATGAAATGTATGTTATGTCATCGAAAAAAAAACAAATATAACGTACATATGAACTTCCCCCAAATTCTCAACAAAATAAAGATGGCGCTATCTTTCTGCTAATTAGAGTAAATTACCTTACATTGCATACATTTACAGTATGCTCCTTTCTATTGTTTAAATAAGTACCTTTCTAGTAAATACCTTATTTTAGAATTTTGTTATTACAAACAAATATTTTACTGGAAAAAAAAAACAAAGTTATCTTTGACAGAATCTTTTTTTTTTTTTTTTTTTTTAAAAAAAAAATTTCTATTGTTTAATAAAGAAAATGAATACATTAATTAAACTTTAAATATTGATACATATTTAGTCACAATGGAATATCCGTTCAATGATGGCGTAAAAGAAATGGTTCTTGAAGCCGCAGTAGATATGTCAATATGTCATGTTTGCATAATCCTCTGCAACTATGCATGCATCTCCAATGTGACATTTTACCCCACAAAAACAATCAAAAAAATTTGGGGTAATTATTCGGTAACATCAACATTGGGGTTTGCAAAGTTTCCTAATAAAAAAAAGGTTCATGGGGGAAAATAATTAGAGAGAAGCTATTATTATTAGTTAGTAACATGTAAAGAAGGAAAAATTTTACATTGTATTAAATGCAAGAAAAAGATAATGAATGTTACCTAAAATTTTTCCCCGACATGAAACACTGATTATGCAATCATTCGGTGCTACTTACCGCAGCATAGAAAATAACGCGCCTTTTTTCCCCAAAAAAATTCTTTAGATTCGTTTTAAAATCTCATCTAAATTTTCTTTAATAGATCTCAACCGTGTTAAGCTATTATATTTTTTTTTGGAACTATAATCCAAGTTAGTCTTAATTGTACTTTTATTATAGAACATTCAGCTCAAAATTGACTTTACAGCTTTATGAAATGCAGTTGCATCATCATGCACTCGGTGCACTCAATACACAAAGAAGATTTATTAATAGAATGATTTGAATGATTTGGTATGTTAATATGCATCATAAACACTAGGAATTAAAAGGCACAGTTATTATATATCCGAGCTTTTTCTTGAGTTTTTTAACTGTGCAAATCCAGCATCATATAAAGAAATCATGAAAACTCTTTAATGAAAATAAAGTAAAATTACTTTATATCGTTACTAATACTAACAACAAATTTTGTGATGCAATCGACAATTTCGTTATTTCAATTTATTTTGGATATTACAATATCAATGAGATATTACTTTTGCAAATTATGTATTGGAAATCTAGGGTAAAAAAAGTATATAAAAGACTTATCTAAATATATTCTAAAAAAAATAAAATAAAAAATAAAGAAAAAAATATTAAACCAGCCTTTAAAATATTACTTTAGTGTATATTCCTAAAAAATATGTAAAATAAACACACTTAAAGTATTAAAAATTCTTACCTTATATGTATTTTTTAATGAAAATAAAGAAAAAAATAATAGGAAATAATCTAACTTATAAAAAACCCCTTTTCTTTAGATTAATCTGAATGTTCTTTAGATTTATATTATAAACTAAACTGAAAATTTGAGATTAATCAAAATTTTATTATTATTAATTAGTAATATTCATCATTTAGATGAATAATTTTTATTATTATTCTAAAAAAATAACTGATAAAAAAACAATTGATATTTTTCTTTCAATTAAATGATTTTTATTAATTAGAATAATTAATAATTACCAAAAACATTAAATGATATAACTAATTAAAATAATGTTTATATTTAATCAATTTATAAATATTATTTTGATTAATATAGTAAATATTTTATAAATAAATAAATGTGATGTAACAACATAATAATACAATTGATTAATAAATCTGACAAATCTAATAAGTCTGATATTTCTAATTTTTTTGACATTTTTAATATTTCTGATACTATTGATATAACAAATATATCAAATAAATATAATAAAATAAACATATTATAATACAGTATTTTAATTTATCTTTTGGACAATAAATTTAATAATATGTAAAATATTATAAATTTTTAAGTTATATTTAATACTTTATTTATTAATATTTTTTTATTTACTTTTTTAATAAATTTAACTTAAATTATAATTACTTTTTAAATTTATATTACTGAAAATTTATTATTTTTGTAAAGCAAGAATTGTAATTATTAAAGCTCCTCATAAGTTGAGCTAGCTCGCAAACCTTATGAGCTAGCTCACTAAATCTTAGCTTAAACTACTATAAAACAGCTTGTGAGCCTATTAAGCTAACTCATATCATAGCTTAGCTCGTGATACAGCTCGACTCATTGGCTTAGATTTTTTATTTTTAAATACCAAATCCAGCAGATAAACTTTGAAGAATAACATTTTAAGCAATGATTTCTTCAAAGTTAAATAGTCTGAAAACGTTTTCTTCAAAGAAAACGATTTGGTAATATTTTTTCAAAGAATAATATTTCTAAAGCATTAATTTTAAATAATAATACTTCAGGAGTGTTTAGTGTCTTTTTCATTGAAGGGAATCACTTCTGTGGCTTTTTCTTTGATGAGAATCATTTTCAGAGACGTTTCTATTAAAGGAATCACATCTGTAGCTTTTCCTTGAATAGAATTATTTCTGTGACTTTTCCTTTGAAGGAAATCATTGCCAAAGGCGTTTCCTTGCAGGAAATCATTGCTGAAGGCATTTTTTTGAAAAAATTACTTGTGTAACTTTCTTAAAAGGAAAAAAACCTCTGTAACTTCTCCTTTAAAAAGAGAGAAAAACCATGTGATTTTCTCTTTAAGGAAATCTCAATCAACATTTTTTTTTTAGATTTTTTTTTTAGAAAATTAAAAGGTTTTAATTGAAGTATTGAATTTAATATTATTAAAATATTTTTTTAAAAAAAAAAAAAATTTTATAATATAAATCATGTCACAAAATAATCAAATAAATTTATCTTTTGATAATAAGCAAAAACTATTTTTAATTGATAAAAAAAGAACTTCAGAAATATATCAATATTTTACATTAGATTCTTTAACTAGGCATTGGAAATGCAACTATTGCAAGTAAGTATTTTTTATACTGAAATACTACAATACAATTTTAATTAATGTAATGTTTACTTTAAAATAGCAAAATTATGGTAATAAATCTACTTCAAACTTTATGGAGACATGTAAAAAAACATCATCCAAATATTTATCAAAATAATGAACCATTACAAATAAAAGAAAAGTTTACATCACAAGGATTTAGAAAAAAATTAATTAATTGGATAGTAATTGATGATCAACTATTTACAGTTATTGAAGAAAAAAATTTATAGATATGTTAACATATCTTAAATTTGATTTAAATTTACCATTAGCAGATACTTTACAATATGATTTAAATGCAAATTTTATACAAATAAAAGATAATGTATATCAAAAATTACATGTAAATATTTTATTAATAAATTAAATTAATATATTTAATTATTAATATTATATTAAAATTAATAGGAAGTATCTAGTTTATTTTCATTTACAATTGATGCTTGAATAAGTAAAAATCAACTTCTATTTCTTAGAATTTCAATACACTAGATTAATAATGAATAGCATTTACAAAGTACTATTTTAAACTTTTGTCATTTATCAGGTTTATATTTTAGTGAAAATTTAGCAAACAAATTTTTAGAAGTTTTGCAAAATTTTAATATTTTAACAAAAGTATATTAATTTATTTAAATATAAATTTTTATTTTTTATATTATATTTAATAAATTTAAATTTTTATTTTTAGATTTTAGCAATTGTATGTGATAA